ACAGGATGCGTTGTGAAACCCTCTCAACCCGGGAGAAATGTTACCTATTCGGATGTCGCGCGAATCGAAGCCAATTAAAATTCTCGCATTGTCAAGAGACCGGCGAGCGAGTCTCAGCAGTGATCTCACTCGGACGCGTTCGCGAAACATCAAGCAGATCAGAGGCTATTTCCGGAGTGACGTTCGTTCGTCCGTTCGCGATGCTCGCGGTGTCTGCGTCTTTCGATCGTTCGCCGAACTCTCTCGACGCTTCAAGTGTCGGGGATCAAAAATGGGGATCCCACTTAGCAGCCGCGTCGGCCGGTCGACGGGCGCGAGCGTAATAATCGCTGACTGCATAACGCGCCGCCTGTCTCCTTTAAACCGCCTGTCTCCTTTATCCGCGCTTTTCTAAATTACAGTGCATCAAGTAATGGCTCCGAGTAAGAGCTATTACGAGCCCGTAAAAATTCGCCAACTGGATGGGTCGCTCTTTCCGACGTAAATATCCCGTATCGTGCGCTTTCCTGCTCCGTTCCTCTATTTAGGAAAATGCTCCCTATCATATTTCCGAGTTGTTGACGCGCGCGTGTCTGTATATGCGTGTACGCGTAAGGTACGTAGAAGGGGTACAACCAACGTAGAAGGTTAACAACCATCATTTATTTATTCGAGAGCCGCGAAAGCGATACGCGCTAACGATACACGCCTCATGACGCATGTGTTACGTTAATAATAATGAGATACTCCGCATTGAAAAATGAGTCCGTTGGATCTGTCTGTTGACGAGTAAGCCCCGCCGACGCTTAATGATATGCATCGATGTAATCGCAGTATCTGCAGATAAATTAGAAACGCCGCCTCCGCGCCGTCGCCGCTATTTTCGCCTCGAAGCGGAATTACGCGGCGGAAGTCGTTCCGTGATTTCTCAGCCCCGTTCCCAATTTCTCCGCGAGCGGTATCTCGCCCGCTCTCGTGTAACCTCTCCCCCCTAGTCGGCCAGCCAGCCAACCGAGCGTCTTAATTGCACCTATTCTGGGAAAATACCGTTGAACGGAAACAACGAGAAGGAAGGGCGGAAACATGCGCGAAAGAACTCACCGGAAAGATTCGCGCCGAAAGAAGCTGCGAAACGCACAGAAGAAGGCTGTTGCCTCCCCCTCTCTCTCTCTCTTTTCCCTTCCCTTCCTCGATGTTGCGTCACAAATTTTTCACTCGATAATTGGGAAAGATGCGCCCCCATTAGCCTTCTCCCTCGCACTCTCTATATCTGTATATCCCCCTCTCTCTCCCGCCCCCTCTCCTTCTCACTCGCGCGTCGGCGGAGGCTATTTATTCCTCCATTCACACGGATGATTTATCGCGGCTTGCGGCGTTATAATTCAGGTTTTCAATTCCAATTGAAATTAACGAAGCCACTCTATCATATTCGGAGGCGGAGGAGGCGGACCGTGCCGCCGTTAGACGCCTGGGATTCCCGGCACCGATTGATGACTCGCGTGGGGCATTTTCGCGCGACCGCGCGACTCCTCTCGTCAACCTTTGCTCTGAGTTTCACACCTCCCTCCTGCCTCCTCGCCCCCGGGCACTTTTGTATTGTATTTTATATCCCGCGTGTTTGGTGAGATTTCCTGCGGCGCAGCCGACTGAGGCGTATCTCCAGGTGCGCGTTGTTTTAATTCTCCGGTGCGTTCGCCCAGTAAACGAGAGAGAGAGAGAGAGAGAGAGAGAGAGAGAGAGAGAGAGAGAGAGAAGGGGAAAGGGAGATCTGGAAAAACGCGCTCGGAGAGCTCGACTTCGCCTTCTTCTCCATTTTTCCTTGTTTCTATTTTTTTCGGAACGCGCGTACACACATATACACACGGAGGGAAAAAAGGAGGGAGAGAGAGAGAGAGAGAGAGAAAACATCGGCGGAGGCGCGGCAGAGCGCGAGAAAGAAAAATGCGCGTCGTAACCGCGGTAATTCGCAGCGAACGCTCGTCGGCCTATCATCTTGCGGAATTCCGAAGAAAATGGCGGGGCCTTGCCTCCCCTCCTCTCCCGGATTCTTTTTCCTTTTCCAACAACAGCGGCACAAAGGAGAGAGCGACGGTGGCGTCGGCGGCGGAGGCTGTAAACGTCCGCAGCACCTCGTACGCGCTCTTACGCCCGAGGCCGGCCTGTATTAAATTAAATGGTGACGTGCACGGCCGGCGGAGGAGGAACCCGGGCGCGCGATGTGGGGTGCTGCGCGCAGCGGAGCTCATCAAGACTCGGAGGCCCATTCAGCCGGTCATTGTCTGCGGTAATGGAATGTATTAATATCGGAGAGCCCGCGGGGCCGTCGACTAACGCTTCGTGTACACCCCACTCTCTCTCTTTCTCTCTCTCTCACACACTCCCGGATCGTGCGCGCACCCGGTTCGGTTCTACAACCGCGGCCTGCTCTGCTGGGCGGGATACGTCCCGTGGGATGGAATATTCGTATAAACCGCCGCTGCACTGCAAACCGCCGGCGAATACCGGGCCCCACGCATTAATATCTAAACACGAGGAGCGAGCGAGCGAGCGAGATGGGATGGGAGCTGGCGGGAGCGAGATGGAGAACGAAAGAGAGAGAGAGAGAGAGAGAGGGCGGGAGTGAAAAGGATGGGTGAAGTCGGTGGGGGTTGAGGTGACTGGCGCTCGCGCGTTATTCTGCCAGTTGCATCTCGTATTCATGCGTTGCACCGGCGGCTACCAGAAGCGTTACACGGCCCGGACCCTCTCGCCACTGGCCAGGTGTAATACTCTTTTTAGTCCGGGCATGATACGTCAAAGGTCCTTTTGTGATAATTGCGTTAGAGGACGACGAGGCTCCCGCGAGGCATGTCCGCCGAAGGCGATACCTTGTTTTGCGCCACGGTCATTTCGCGAGTGTTTGTAAGATAGGGGGCGATAGAGAGAGAGAAAGAGAGAAGAAGTAGAAGAAGAAGAAGAGAAGGAGAGGGAGAGAGAGAAGGAGGGATGGAGAGAGAGAGAGAGAGAGAGAGAGAGAGAGGTAGACGAGTGCGCGCGAACGTAGTAGATAGCAGCCGCGCTCGCAGGTGGAAATTAATTCGGAATAGAATTAATTCCACCATCGTGCGCGCTCAAACGTGGCCGGCTCGCGTAAAGCAAAAAGTTACGTTAAATAGCGGCGTCCGTTAATTAAGCTACCCCGTTGCGATATATTAATTCGCCGGAAAATTGCGGCGGTAGCGACGGCCGGGGCGGTGGAGTGGGGTGGGAAGAGGAGGGGGACTTCCCGAGGAAAAACTATCGATGCTGGGCGTCGCGTTCGCGAATAACCACGAGCGAACGGTGTTTAAGGGACGCGCCGGACAACGACGTGGAAATTATTAACGGACGCGGATGGGATGGTGCGCGCGCGAGCGCGCTCGCAAATCCCCGGATCGGCCGTAAATTCGCACCGGATGATTCTCTCGTCAGGCGTGATTAAAAAATAAACTCGCTCTCGAAGCGGAAAGATGAACAAATCGACGACGCACCGTTTTCTCTCTCTCTCTCTTTCTCTCCTTCCCCCCTCTCTCCCTCTCGCTCGGTGCCGCTCGCCACGCAGCAGAAGGATCAATTTAACAGCGCTATAAATATTCATTTCGCACGAGCGAGTGCCAAACGAGAAGCGATAGCCTATCGGAAAGGCACGCGGATTACTTAATTACACGTTGTTGCGACCGACAATTTATTCTCTCCCGCGGCTGTGGGGGTAGGCGTTAATTTATAATTAGCCTCGCCGTGCGAGCTTTCTCCCTGTCTTTCTCCGTCCGTTGCCGGTCGGCGTTACCATTTTTGCGTTTCACGATGCTAAGGCGATAGAAACGCCGACTAATATCCGTTTAGAGCCGGCTTTCGCGGTCCGTTAAGCGGCCGAAAGATTAGAAATAATTACATTCGATCGGCCGACTCTCTTCGTTCTTGCCGCGTATAATAACCTCTCTCTTTCTCTCTCCCTCCCTCCCTCTCGGCCCGGTGGTCCTGCGAACCTGATATTCCGGATTTTATGTATTAACCGGCGAGAGCGCGCTTTTAGTATTCACGCCTCGCAAGCGCGCTACGCGGAGGCGGCACGATTAACCCTTCCTCCGCAAGGCGGCCAATGTATTTACCTTGTCAACACCGAACCGCCCCCCTCCCCCTTTTCACCCCTCTTCGCCCGCCTCGGTCCCGCTGTTTTTCTTTTAAAACGTCCCTAACGACGGAGAGACCGGCGCCCGGTGCGTCGTCGTTACTTCGCGATATTAAAAGCGATACGATCGTGAATTTGACGGGCGAGATATTCGGCCCCCGGCAATCATCATTTATTATGTCGCAAAAATTACTCTCATCACGAGGCGGTCCACAATGCACGGCAAGAAAAGAATATACCGGACCGTTGACGCACCGAGCACCGACGTTCTCTGTGATACGCGAAGTCTCACGGAACCTCATCAATTATGAAAGGCGATTTGCATTTCTATTGCGTAAAAAGAGAGGAGGACAAGTTTGCAGAGTGAATTGATAACAGGGATTGCAAAGAGAGGGGAAACTGGGTCGGACGGTGGCTCTCAAGTCCGCCATGCGTTTATATGCTCTATTGTGAGAGAAGCAGTGAAAAAGAATCGCAAAATGTTTCTTTTAGGATGTGTTTTTCTTCCGATTCTTCTTCGACCGTTTCTTTCATAAGAATAACGTGAACGATGTGAAATCCATGATCAATGTGACACTTGAGTTAACTCGACTTGGTCGCCCCTAATTTTAACTTCTTCAAGGACGAATCGTTCTCTCTCTCCCTCGAAGCTTCGTGCGCCGTTGAACACCGCGAAAGACCACGCGCTCGCGATAAAAATGTTTTCGCGAGCCGGCTCGCACCGCGTCGCGTCACGATGTCGTCGATCGCGGCTGCATCGAGCGCGCAACAGAAGGCGCCGGTAGATACGAAGTGATCGATGGCCGTAGCGGCGCGACACCCGTCCCCTTTCTCCCCTGCCGTCGAACTATCCGAATGAAAAACTGTCGCTTACCGTGCCAGTTGGGGACCGACGTTTCCGGTGTCGAAGCTGGAACTGGCGTTGATATCCACGTCCGGGATCGCACCGGACTCCATGCCGAGCGGCGCGATGCATTGGGCTGCAACAAACGAACACGCGGCGTCGCCGAGGTTAAAGCGCTGCGATTTATACACAGGCGTGAGGCAATAACTATTACACTAGCTCTATATCTTCGAAACACGCGAGAGCTGGGGGGAAAATGTATCCAACAGAAATTGCATCGGTGCCGTTTCACCGGTCATCGTTTCGAATACCTTTTGCGAACGTCAACATTTTTCATCCTCATCCAGTCGTTGGAGGAAAAGCACCAAAACTGATGACGAGTATGGTAAACTGACATACTCATGTTTCTGAGCTATGAAGTACCAAACCTTGTCGAACGTCGTCTACCGCGTAGTTGGAGTGACAGTTTCTGTTTGCAAACGCGCTCGTTTTACGTTATTAGCGTCCTTTGATTCCTCATCGTGCTGAAGTTTTGCTGAGCTTTCTTCAGGTAACAATTTACAGCAATAAGTAATTTACTTGCTATTTTATAGTGCGAGTTTTGACATCTTTAAATCACTTTGGATCTTGCGCCGATCTCTATCCTCTGTCACGCACCGTGTCGTGAACCACGCAAGAAAAGTTAGAATTAGGTTGTTCTGTGAAGTGAGATACTGAGTTTACCGGTCTTTCAACCGACATGCCTGAACTTTGCTGTGAAATATCATTTCACAGAATACAGGTTGAAGCTCACTAACTGATTTTCTCTTATTTCCTCGTTTATTTGTTTAAGATAGGAAGAAAAAAAAAGTTAAGAGATCCCTTCCACATAATAAAGGAGCAATATACATATATTTTATAAATTTTCGAAAATATCTAAGATTAAAGATAACATGTAAGGATATGTTAATAAATGTACAAACCGATATGTTGTCAGTGCTTCCATTTTATTTTTTTCATAATTTCCTACAAACATTTTAAAAATATAATAGCTATTTGCAAGGAAATATATAATAATTTTCAAGGCTAATACATATTTTTTTAAAGAAATATAGTTGGTTTGCATCTATGTGCATGTAAATTTTAATTTTATACCTTCAACAAAGCTTCAGCAACAGGAATCCAAAGACAAAAAATATGTTGGTTTTGGTGCTTTTCCTCTAGTAAAATATTTTTACCTTTCAAAGATATTCTCAAGGTGACAATAGTTATTGCCTCTCCCAGTATATATTCATATATATACGCGGCGTCTCTTCTCTCTCTCTCTCTCTTTCTCTCCTTCACTCTCTCGGTCTATATATATGTAGGAATCGGCGTGCATCACGGCCGGATCATAAACGGCTAAATAACCAGCTAACCGAGATGGATCCGTGCGATAGCCGCTTTACGCTCTCGGCGTGTACGGCTGCCTGTCGTGCGGCTGGAGGTTACGGACGGTGCGAGGACGCCGCTAGGTGGGTTACCTACGCCGGAGCGGCGTGCGGGGACCGTGCCTCCGACGTTTTCCGTATCTCGCGGAGCGATCTAATTGTTTCATAGGTGAACACGGCTGCTGCCGTTGCTGCCTCGTGGACCGACCGTTGCCGAGGACTGTGGAGAATCGCAGTCACCGGGATATATCCTCGTGCGCGAGATAACCTCCGCGGAATATTTATCGCGCCATATTCGTCCGGCAATGCGATGTAATGCCGCAATTTCTCTCCCTCTCTCTCTCTCTCTCTCTATCGTAATAATAGACATTATAAAAACATCAATTGCGAAATATTTCGAATCATAAATTAAATGAATTTCAGGGTTAAATATGATAAGAGTCAGCTGCTCCAAGTTTGCCAGTAAAATTTTTATGTTCGTTTGATCTCTTTTTTGTGTGAAAATTCAGTTCAAAGAAGCGATTATAAAGTCGACTCGACCAGTTGTAAAAGTTCTATTTATTGTCCGGTTTAATTAACCTTCCATTAGAAGTAAAATTACTCGAATCATGCAGTTTAATTAAAATTTTTTGGCGAGCGAAGAACATTTACATCGTACATACAATTACGTTCCGGTTTCATAAAACTTTCACCGTTGATTAAACATTACCAGCTCATACCCGAGTCGAAATTTTAGTTCTACATTCAGATGCGATTCTACGTTAAATCCAGTTCTATATTAAATTTTCAAAGATCCATCGTACTCCTTTGATACTACAAATGAAAAGTTATTGCCGTTTTCTCCGCTTGGAGATTATAGAACTTAAACTTCGACTCATGTAGAACAAAGTAGTCTAAAATCAATGATAGATATTCTCATGCATAAGCAAAATTGTTATAATGTTCTTAGAAGATTTTTAGTCTTGACCTGAGTGCAAGGAACACTTGCATCAATACGGATTCGATGAAAATCAAGACTAAAAGTCTACCAAAAAGATTATAACATTCTTCCTTATACGTGACTATATCTATCATTGATTTAAGAATCATTGTTTTCCGTGCGGATATTTCCGTGTCGGATTGTTGATCTGACTCGGTTTTCGTTCGATTTGATCGCAGAACTCTGAGATTCAATTCCTTCTACCTGATTTTCCTCTCAACGTAGAGAGAGAAACGCGAATCGAGAGGCCGACTTCTCTTCCGATCGCCGGCCGGTCGTGCCGAATTCACAGGGTGTTCTCCGGGCCGTGCTCGGCGGGCTTCACGAGCCCTCCCGGGACCACGCGTTCATTAATGAGGCTCATAAAGCGCTTAATCTCGCCGAGATTTAATACATCCGACTCGGGGGAGTCTCGCGACCGGCGCCCCCGCGTAGCCCCGTCGACCACCAATGACAGGGTTGAGGGCCATCGGAGAAACGATACCGTCTACTTTGCATACATTATCATTCCCCGGCCGGCCCCTCTCGGGAATTTTCGAGAGGCGTTCCCGCGCGACCCGTCGTCCTCGTCGTCCGCAATAAAGTTCGAACCAAGTATGATGTATGGTCGCATTCATACCGCGGCCACGTCACGCCGCTATCATTAGGGCGAAGAGAGTCGCGACATTCCGCGTTTCTTCCCCACCCCCTCGCGCACCTCCATATCTTTCTTCCCCTCTCAAGTCGCCATTAACCGCCTACGCGCGTTATCGGCTCTTTGTTTCCCGCGGAAACCGCGGGACAAAGACGCCGATTATCCATCGGGCATGCGGACGAGCGGGCGAATCACAAGCGGCCGTTCACTCCAGCGGGCCGGATGCTCGCTGTCGACGTATTACAATCAAAGGCCGGCTTCATAGAGACGCGGGCGCGTTCGCGAGCGTACGATACACGTCGGGTCCTTGTAATTCGACAAAGGAGCGTGTATCGAGGCGTAACTAATTCGCAACATGACGACCCGATCAGCCGCTTCGCCGGACAGCGCGCGAAACGCGCGCCTCGCCTCGGGCGCGCTCGCGAATCCCTCTCTCTCTCTCTCTCTCGTATGGGGAGCGCGCATGATGATGCGGCGCGCCGGCATCGATTACGGCGTACACGGGGGTCGGGCGGTGTTACGATACCATTACGCGGCGTGGAAACTGCGAAAATTCGAAGTAGCCTGGGCGGGTCCGCCGGCGTGCAACAACGCAACGTAGCCGACGACGATAATGCCTAATGCCCGGATATCGAGTGCAGGTGCAGCGCGAGTCGTGTCGGCGGGGGGGACGCAGAGGGTCGCAGCTTTGTGCTGCCGGGGAGCATAACGGAAGGAATCCGCGCTAAGCCAGCGCGGAACGGGCAGTGCGGGAGCATGTAGGCGGTGGCCATTAATACCGGCGAAAGTTTGCAGTGTTCTTCTTCCTCCGACGACGAGTGAGACCGACCGAACTACCGACCGCCGCCCCCTCCCTCCTTCGCGTAATTCCCCCGGCCCTCGAGAGTGAAATGTGTATTTTGCTCTTACGTTTTAATCCAACATACTTTATTGTCGCTGCCGAATGGAAGCTCCGCAGCAAACCGTCGGGAAATGGCTTAAGGGGAAGGGGGGGGGGGGTAACGCTCTCGTAATTTGCTGGAGATACGCGTGGTTCTACGCGTTAATGCTCGTCGGTCGCGCTCGATGGCGAGAAATCGCGGGGCGAATCTCGCGATCTGGTCGCGTGAGGACACACCGGTGCCACCCTCCCCCGGCAACGGTATCCGGCGAGCAAACGTAATCGTTTCTCGGAGATTTTGCTTGGATTTTATTGCTCGGTCCGGCTGGGGAAACATGCGAGGGCCCTCGGTCAATTTCGATGGGACTCGTTAGCGATGTTGCCGAGTAGCTGAAAGTAGGAGATACGTGTCCTTTGATATGTTCTTCCGCGCGCGTTTAAAGTTGAGACGAGCTCTCGGAAGAACTTTTACCCTCGACCCTGCGTGTTATTTTGGGGGAATTTAAATGGGGGAAAAGTACGTGCGTTAAGTGCCACACAATTCTTGTCTGTAGTTTTAAGGTTCCGGAAGCAACCCGTTTTTCCCCAATTTTTCTGCGTATCTTTTTGGTTTCTCATCTTATTTACAAAATAAATAAATGTAACAAGTTTCAATTGAATACACGCGAACTTTTCTAAACGAATTTTTCCCCCGTATAGATTGTGGAAAATATCTATTTTTTTTTTTTCATTTGAGAAGGATTTTTTTCTTAATACAAAAATATATATCTTAATATAAGTAAATTTGTTATTAGAGTACCGAATAAGTATTGTTTATTTCTTAGACACCTTTCCCCAGTGTAATTTCCAGATTCACGATTGGCAACTAACAGCAACAATCCGCGTTTACGGATGTAGCAGATCGCGGGTCCGTCGAGAGACGGTCGGGAACGCCGACCGGACTTTTGGAAGGACCACTCGGCCTGCAACTTCGCGGTCGATCGCGGTGGAAAAGTCGCGAGAGAGAAGCCAAACGTGTCGGGCGCGATTAATCGCCGCTATTATTAACGGGCTGCTCCTCGTTATATCGCGATTCCGGTGCTCTAATATATGTCGGACTTCCTCGGCTTGGCCGCGCGCCGATTAGAATCGATGGCAGGAAAGTCTCGGCTCGACAAAGGGAGGGAACGCCGATCGGCGCGGACTGTTGTTATTAATGAATGCTCCCCCCCCCTCCCCTCCCCCGATATATCGCGATGACCGCCGCCGCTAATATATGTCTTCGGATTCCGCGGAGGAGCGCGCATGCCCGACGATCGATAGCGAGGAGAGTCGTGCTGCGAGCACGAGGATGCGAGAGAGGCTGCGCTCTCTCGAGATCGCCGACGACGATGGCGCGGACTCGCTATTATTATTAATGAAGGTCACCCCGATACGCTCCGCGAGATCCCGTCGCTAATATATGTTCTCGAATTCAGCGGGGGCCGCGCGAGAGGCCGAGGAGGGCGATTTGAATCAATTGTAGGAAAGTCGCGGCCAACAAAGGGAGGAAATGCCGATCGGGATCGTTGGTGGGCCAACATGGCGGACGAGTCGCTATTATTATTAATGAAGGTCCGCCGCGATATATATCGCGCGTATCGCCCACCCCCGCCGGAATTCTCACGACCACCTTCTTCATTCCCCCTCTTCGCTCCCCCTCCTGCCACATGACCATGGTCCCTTTCTATTTCTCGATAAAGTTCGAGGACCGTTTCGCGGGCTCTCGCAGAGGGAGAGAGAGAGTCGGTTTCCTTTGTCGGCGCGTTCGGCCTAACGAGTGAGCCACCACTGTGAGATATCACGCTCGTAAATCGATAGCGAATGAGGGTTCCTAAACGCGACACCCTCCGTTAATCCCTGAGACGACGGGCGAGACGTCTCGCAGTAAGTACTGAGCGATATAGATGGGTAGATAAAGAGGAGGAGAGCAAGAGGGAAAGAGAGAGAGAGAGAGAGAGACCCTCTCGTGGCGGATGTCCGGCAAGAGTCGCTCTCCCGACGTTACACCACTCGAGGAAAAACACCATCGATTACTCTCCCCGGCTATTGGCGCCGAGATAAATTACAGACGGAGGGAGGAAATCGCTGAGGATGTTGTCCGTCCCGGAGGCGGCGTGACGCAATTATTGAACGCGCCCCGTTATCCGCGATTACGATGCGATTTTTCGCCCGCGGGAATCTATTTCTATCAAGCCGATCCTGCTCTCTCTCTCTCTTTCTCTATCTCTATCCCTCGGGCACCACGGGCGATTACTTATCATTAATAAGACGGTAAGACGCGAGCGCTCAGCGCACGCGCCGCAGCGTCTTCTGGGTGAGACCGTGGGATTTTCCGCGCTGTGTATCTCCCGCTGATTTACACAGCCGTGCTTTTTCGTTGAAGCGCGCGTGCACTCGAACCAACCGCCGCGTCGATCGGGGATCCCGGTAATCCGGGGCTAAATTGATCGATTCGAGACGTCACGATATCCCGCGTTACTTTTACCTCACCTGAGCACTGAGAGGAGAGAGAATGATCGATCTCGTTACAAATTGAAGTCACTCTCGGCGTCAACGATGTTGTTTTATTTTCTTGCAAACAGTAAGTGGTTTTCCGGATTATTTCACTGTATAATTATTTTATTATAACAACGCAAATAGTAAATATTTCTTGTTTAAAATTATTCTTCACCTTTTTTTCTTTTTATATGTAGTTTTTTTTTTCCCCCCAAAGAGAAATTTATCTTCCACGATACGTCACGAAAACGTCGCTTCTTAACACATTGTTGATCGATCATGTGAGAAAATTCGTGTTTTATTGTCAAGAGAAAAAGGAGAGTTCGAGAACGAAATTTGAACAATGTTGAAAACGGCCGATTAACAATGCGTATATAATGATTTACTCACGTAGAAATTTTCCTAGATTTTCCCGTATATAACATAGCTTCCGATTAGAATACCCTAAATTGCCTCTCAAAATGGATTACTTCACTGCTATATCATTTGGGAATCCCATTCTTATCCTAAACATGAGATGAAGCGATGCTGATTGGCTATGTGCTGCCGTGTACAATTGTCATCGCCAAATAGAATCTGTCTATACTTAGGCTTGTATTAGTAGTCGTTATTTAAAACTTGCCTCAAGTGAGATACTCAGATTTGTGTTTAGAGTTCAATCTGAATTATCCAATTAAATCGCAATTACAGATAGAATATTACGTGCATTGTAAAATTTACCAACTCAGATCTAGCTCTAAATTGAGATCTGAATGTCTCACGTGGGGCAGGTTTCAAGCAACGACTATTAATACGAACCTTAGGATCGTACGTGCCAAGTGTGTTATTTTTACACGCATAAACGTCAAAAAATGACACGTTCGACTGAAGCTCTTCTTACATGCTTCCTGCCGTTTTAGATTACGTCGCTTAAAACGTTATAATCCCGCCAAATTATAAGTTAACTCGTCCAGTCGTTAAATGACGTGATCTAAAACGGTAAGGAATGTGTAAGAGAATCCCCAGCTGAAATAACACGCTTGGATCTGCAGTGAAATCGGACTCCGGATCCCAATTAAATTTCGAGAAATTTTCTGCCCGAATCGACGAGAAACGGCAGCGTTAATGACGCTGAAAATCGGCCGGTTAACAATATATCAAGACCGAAATGAAAAAAAAAAAAACAGTGTGTACGAAGGGCTCTCGCGGCTCGTGAAAATTCTCCGCTCGGAGCACGCGCGCGATTGGCTATTTACGAGGCAGTGTTGAGCGAGGCACGACATGACGCGATGCGACGTCCTCAGCTAGACAAGACACCTAATGACCACCGGTGAAAGCCGATCCCGGATCGAAAGTTCGTCGACTGCGGCGGGCTAAGTTCCGGAGTAGTCGCGCGGTCTCCGCGTCGTTTAATAACTTATAAACGCGGCAACCTGGTTGCGCGCGGGCGGGGGCGTGCCAGGAAGGCTATAGCCGCAAAGTTCGACGACGACGACGATGACGTCGTCGTTGACTAGTTGCACGAGCGGGTGTACCGTGTGGCCTGCGGATTAGAGCTTAGGAGAGCTACTTACAGAGGTCCACGCCGTGGTAAGCGGGGGCGAGAGCGAGCAGAACGACGAAAAGGAGGTGGACGGCAGGTGGCGCCCTTCTGGCGAGGAAACCCAAGCTTTTCACCATAGCTCCCTTTTCCTGCGAGGGCTTCACCCTCGCCCTTTCCTCACCGCGACTCCCGCCGTGCCATTTCTGCCTCGTCAACCTGAAACAAAAAGAGGCGCAATCGTTATGTCGTGCTCGGCGATTGTCGCCGTCGTTGTCGTCGTGAACGAAGCGGGAGAGAGGAGCGGTCGACAAAGCGGGCTCGTTTCGCCGACCGTTTTCTCTTTCTCCGTCTCTGTCCCACCCTCTGCAGGTGTGCGAATCCGCCGCCTTGGCGGAGAAATGATGCGCGCAGTTGTCGCGGCGGAATGTCAAGCCCGAATGTTAAGGACGATAGCAGCAGCTCTGATATCGCGCTCCGCGTATCTCGGAGTTGTGATTCGCGAGACGCCGTTACGCAAGACTGACGCGCCGTCAGCGCGGAGATGCTCCTGGCGCAAATTTTGCTGCGGCACTCGCTCCCCTCCTCCCCGGCGCGGTTTAATCGTCACACGAGAAATCATCGAGACGATGCTATCACGATGGTGTGTCGTATTTTATTAGCGTGGAATTCCGAATCGATAATTCGCCTCGATTCGAAGAAGATTCGCCAAATTGGAATCTCATAGAAAGCGACTTCCGCGTAAATTTTGCCGCGATACTATCTCTCTCTCTCTCTCTTTCCTTCTTTCTCTCGCAACTTAAGCGAAACACTAAACTAAACCCGAAAAGAAATCAAGCTGATAGTATCAGGAGCACTGAGAATTTTTTCAGCGTGGACTTCCGGATTAATAATCCGCCTCGAAGAAGATTCTCCGAATTAAAATTTCTCAAAGTGCGATTTTCACGTAAATTTTCCTGCGAAACCTCCCCTCCCCCCTCCCCCTCTCACGCGATATTCCGTTAAGCGGAAAGTACTCAAAACAATATTATCACGAGTGTCGGCTTCCATCGCGATGGGATTGATAATTTCCCCGCGAGATTCGAAGAAGGCTCGCCCAAATTGAAATTTCACCGAAGACGCGTCTCTCCGCGCGTCTGCCCGTAATACCCGCTCAGCCGATTACGCGGCGCGCACGTGTGGGAGAAGCGTTTCCTTCCCGTGGAAAGCCGAAGGGCGCAGTTAGACTAACCTGCTGCGGTACACGTCACGCAGCAGTGGCTTTCTCGAGAACGAGCCAGACGCGGCGAATGCGGAGCGCGTCAAGCTTTAACGTAAAGACGCCTCGAGAGACGCCGACGACTATGACTGGGATATCTCCGCGAGTGCGTAGTTCGTAGTCGACGCTGTCGAGAGCAACGAGCAACGATTGGCAGAGCGACTCGTTCTCGGCTTACCAAGTCGATCGGCCAATTGATTAGTCGACGGTGCGTCCCTCTCTTCCTCCTCCTTCCTCCTCCCTCTTTCTTTCTTTCTTTCTTTCTGTCTCTCGGTTTACGCGAGTACTCTCGGGTACACGTCAGACGAGCGTATACAAGCTCATTCCGCGCCACATTCTCTCTCTCCTCCTCTCTGTCTATCTATCTATCCGCCTCGTTCTCGGTGCAGCCGCGAAGAAGGTGCGATTCCCCGCGTCTCGACTTTGATGGAGCACCCGCCGGTAATTGCGCAGACGGTGAATAAATAATGTCGAGAACGGTAGTAAGAAGTCAGTCGCCCTCTCTCGGCGGTCGAAGGCCTCTCGCGTGCTCCGTATTAAACATACATGCGGCAGCTTATAGTCGCGAGGCGCTGCAAAATCTGTTCTTCGCGTCGCGTCGCCCGTTGCTCTCTTCCCGGTCGTTCGAGAGGAACCGGTAGGTAGGTGGGTAAGTGGAGGTTGGTAAGAGCATCGCGCGAAATCCTCCGCGGCGGCTGCCGCCGGGTTCGGGCCCGCTTGCGAGTCTTATTTGAGCGCGCGACGCGCCGGTATACGACGCTCACGGGGACGTATCGGCGATAATCGTGTCGGCGATTTTCCATAATCGAGCGATGGAATATTTATGAGGTGAACGAGTCGTTCGGAGTATTCCTCGCGTCTGGAAATTAAGTCTCCCGCTCGCTCCTCCTCCCTCCTCCTTTTTTTTCTCCCGTCGTGAGAAACGGATAATTTAATTACACCGGCGCGCGCTTTTCGCGTTACAGTGGCCGAGCGAGCGGCTTATTTATGTTCCTTTTTTCCTGTAAATATATGAATAAATGTCTATTAAGCCGGCCCTCCGTCAACGAGAAATACATTTTTATATACATATTGAGGAGAATGTACTACCATTCAAATGATGTTTACTTGATCCGAAATGCGTAGTAAAAAATTTTGTATCAAATTGGAATGTGTTAATTTAACATTATATTTGTGTACTTTTTGACACATTCCCCGTTTTAAAATAATACAAGATTTCGGTGTACCGTTTCCAACACAAAATGTTTCACTGTACATTTATTACGAACTATTACAATATATTTAAATTGATGAAAATATTACTTGATTTAAGACACCAGAAACAGGTATAATTACGTTTATTTGCTTCTAGGACTTCCTTTACTGTGCCCTAAAATAAAGTACTAATTAGACGTACTAATTAAGTGTTGCAATCCGATAATTAAGTGCCCGAATACTCCAGCAGGAAATTGAATCGTACGGGGGGAGGGGGAAGGGGGGAGCTATCTTAACGTTAATTTAGTTCCCTCTCCTTTCTTCTCCCCCATAAAAGAAACAAATACCGAAAACGAGGCTAACTTAATAGATATCTTTTTTTATCGTCGCCTCGCGTGTCATGGCGCGCATACACGCGAGAATGTAACGGGCGGGTGTGTAACAGGACGACGAGAACGATCTCGGCGATTAAAACACGACACGGACACGATCCGGCCGGCGGACTGATCGATGGAGGAAGAGAGAGAGAGGCTGTCGCGGCGCGAACGGACAGCGCCGTGATTATTAATACGAGAGGTGAGCTCGCGCGAAATCGTAAGTTGTCGCGATATTTAATTAAACGTCGCACACTGCTGGGTGAGAAACGCGAAACATTTCTTCCTCCTCCTCCCTCACTCCGCTCCCCGCACGTAAACATTTAATCTCCCTAAGCGCCGAGTGTTAAATTAGAAATTATCGGAAAACAGTATCGTTTATACGTCGAGCCGCCATAAAAGCTTTATCTTCTCATTGTATTCATGAGGGACTTAACGCCCGCGATACGCTCCGTCGAAATCAATTCCTCCGTCCCCCATTCCTCCCTCCCCCCCCGCTTTTACCTATAAACGACCACCAGCGCAGCAGCGACGAGCCGCAGCCCGGTAAGCAGCACTCCGTGGCGGTCGCGAAATTATTCATCGATTGTTTTCTTTTCATCTCGCCGGGGGACCACTATGAAGAGGGACAGGAGCAGGGGGGTGGAGGAGGACAGATTATCGCGATCGTTTCAGGCAGGTGCTGTTCACGTGACTGTTGTCCTTATCGTCGACCGGGCTAGCCGGCCGACGTCGTCGTCTACGTGAATCTCGCGATTATTATGCCGTCGACGTAGTTAAACGAGGTGGGGCAGAGGAGAGGAGGGAGAGAATTCTGCTTACGATCAGTATCGCCCGCGATACGCACAATACGCGCTTATATATTCGCGTGCTCGCGCTTGGCAGATTGCACGCGCTGGCGTGCCTTTCTCTCTCTCTCTCTCTCTCTCTCTGTCCCTCCCTCAGAGTAGCCGGTTTAAGCCGCGATGTAAGCCGCGGCGGCTCTCGCCGTGATATCCCAGTTCCACGTCGAATCTCTTCGTTTGCATAGGAATGAGTTTATGCAGATTAATACACGCGCGTGTTGCAGACGCAGAGAGTCTCCCGCGCGACGGCCACGTGGCCCACGTGGGCTGCGGATCGCGGCGGCGCCTACGCGCGGGTAATACCGCACTCGCGCGTATTTTATCGGCGGCGACTTTGCGGATTTCTGCCCGCGCGAGAGAAAGAAAGCCGCCACACGCGTCGCGCCTTGTCGAGCTGGCGGATGTTAAGATCCAGGGCTGACCGAGGTCTGACCGAGTGTAACGAACATTAAATTATGGTTTGATAATTCTGTGTCTTGCGTTTTCTCTGTGCGAGACTCGCGTGTTGGGTCGGCTCAAAGGGGATTATGTTGGCCATACGTTTCGTTTGTACATTTCTCGCGAGGAAAACTGCGGGAAAGAGGTATCGCAAAAATCGTTCCTTTTAGGGCACACACAGTGGCACATTTTTATACTGCGAACAGTCCACGTAAAAGTTCGCGTTGTTTTAACACGGGGAATATGTGAGGAAGCATGCAAATATGTTAAACTAACATGTTCACCTTGCTGAAATAATACAACAATTTGGTCGGACCGTTTGTAACGAAAAATGTTTTTAACCGTGTGGGTACTTTTCTTACACGGTGAAAAATTTCTCTTATATTTTGCGGGAAATTTTGCGATTCCTTTTGCACTCTTTCTCTCACGATAAATACACAAGCGCATGGGCAACGTGGCCCTTGGGCCATCTTGACCCAGTTTCCCCGAACGTTGTTGCAGCCTGGGAATCGGAAAGGTGCGTTAACGTTCGCCACGCGCGCGGAATACCCGATCTCGGTCTCGTTGCTTTTCGCGGAGACTTCGATTCCGCGTCGGCTTCTCTCTCTTTCTCTCTCTCTCTCTGTCTCGGAGCAACATTGACGGAGAAGCGGGATGCCGTATAATGGGAATGTCTCTTATCGCGGGGCGGTCATTAATTCAGTTTCCGATATGCATTCTCGAGGCCGCGCAGGAGTTTCTCCCGAACGCACCGCGGTTTTCCTAATTATCCGGAATTAATTCGGCATTATTTATGGGACTCCGCGTAGGAGTCGATGTAAAAGACGGAGGGGAGCGGTCGGTCGCGGGAACAAACGTTGGAATTCGTAAACCTCGCGCGCGAAGCGTCGTTGTTACGGTGACGCGTGTCTCCGCTAAATAACAGACGCGGATTTTTCGCGGCGACGCCGGCCACTACTACCTTTCTTGTTCTGCGCTCGCGAAAGAAATCGCTCCCGACAAATCGTCGAGTTGACCTTAATTGCGCGGAAGCCAAGGAGACGCGATCTCGGACGACACGGAGGCGAAGTCCCCCGTGAGACAAAACGAAGCCAATGAGTTTAGTAATCC